TATGAAGTTTTTTTTTTAAAGGGAAAACAAAAACACTGTATTTGCCAGAGGAGGGAGGGGGCTGAAAGCTACCCTGTGAGAGAAGAGGTCTGGAGCAGAAAACCTCAAGGGCCTTTGTCTTCAGCCCTTTTTATCACTGGTGCAGAAAGACACACACACACACACACACACACACACACACACACACACACACACACGAACAATTCCAAGAAGTATCTGGCCAAATTCTCAGGTTACCTGGGGAGTTCTGAGGTGAGGAGCAGGGTGAACAGCGGGGAGAGAAGCTGTACCCAGGGTGGAAGGAAGCCTGCAGAGGGACGTAGGACATGATTTCTTCTTCAAAAAGACTGCAAATTTAAAGGAAAAAAAAAGTGTTAGTTTTCCTTAGCAGTGATCAGGACTGGGGTCTCTACTTAAATCCCAGCCACTGGAATCTTCTAGAAACAATGGCAGGTGTTTCCATCCAGTCTCTCTCAGGTAGGTGGCTGTAGGTCAGAGCAGCCCAATTTGGCTTCTCTGGCATCATGTGATGCACAGCCTCTTACCTTAACAGAATGACTAGATCTGCATCGCAGGACAACTTTTCAAGCCCGTGATTGCCCTCAGTCCGAATGTAGTGGATTTTCTCCCTGGAGGAAAGAAAATGAGAATTACACACCAACATATAAAACAGCTTAGGGAGAAATCTTTTCTGAGTTCCTTTATTCCTGTCAAATGTGGCCAGATAGCCATGTCCCAGTGTTCAGTGCATTTTGTGGTGCCCAGCTTGCTTTGCAGATTCACAGGATGCTCTATGAAGGGTGGCTTTTCCTCATACTCTGGGGGCACATAGCTCAGAGAGTAGCACAGCACAGCTGGTCTCACAGAGCTAGGACAGGAGAGGGGCTGGGCATGCCGAGCTGCTGAAACTGCCCTGGGGTCCTGGTACTTTGGCAGCCATGGTGTGGGGAGTTGCTTGAGAAATCCTGTGCTGCTTGGAGAATTTAGGCCATGGTGGGTACAGAAGGACCCGGCCCCCAGAACAGACAAGAGTCTCCCGGTCAGTCGATGTGCAGGCATCAGTTTGTCTCTGTTTAATTACAGCTCCCATTTGGACCTTTTTCACACCCTCCAACTTGGAAAACCATTTCCAGTACAGGTGTATGGATAAGTAGCATTTATTTAAAAAGGAAAAGTGGGAGTGGAAGGGAAGTGGGGGAAAAAAACCCAACAACTGAGATGTGTTACGTACATGTACCAATTCCCCACAATAAATGGAATCATTGTCCTGTAAACAGGTACTCATAAATTTTTTTAAATAGCATTTATTTTGATCAAATTAACTTTGAAATTTGCCTCCTTGATATTATTCAGGTATTATCAATACTACACTCAAGAATCACTCCACGTATGCAGGCTTCGAAGGAGTTTTTTTTTTTTTTTTTTTTTGCCTTCTTTGACAAGAGATAGTAGAAATCTGGGAAAAATTAAGGGTTGGTTTTAAGAAAAATGTTAACTCTTTCTTGTTTAAATTTTATAATTTGAGACTCATATTGGAATTGTAAGCAATAACAGAGATCGAGGGGAAAAAAATGAGAACTAAGACCTGTCATGTAAAGGTACAAGATCCCAATAATGAATGTAATTGTACTGTATACCTAAAATGTACTAATAAACTCAATAAAAGAAAAAAAAAGAGAAAGAGATGTCATTCCCCTCTGTGGTAACATAGGCACAGTTTTCAAATCTACTTATCCTGCAGATACAGTTTTTTCCTCTGTCTGATTGTATTACTGTGTTTTCATAGCATCATAACTTGCCCATTCAGGAAAAAATATATTCAACTTGACCTTTTGCTGTGGGAATTTCTTCTTAAAGGCAAAAGGAGACTTTCGGCCTCTATAAAGATATATAAAATGAGATTGAACAGAGAAGTGCCTGGGACTTCAACCTCTCGGTTTAGGCAAAGTATCACTGCAGGAAATGCAAGGTCCCAAATCTGAGGGACATTCAGAGTGGCTTTGTGTGGGGCTCGGAGAATGGACCACACCTGTCTGCAGCATTTTCCAAGAACCAGCAGAAGCCCAGCCAAAGGTGCAAGTGCCATCTCCCACCACTACCTGCTTCTTCCTCTGCCTTTGTCCTTCAAATCCTGACGCCACTTCTTGGCTTTCTTATTTGGAAGATGCTCTTGGACCTGCTCTTCTGATTTACTGCTTGCAGCTCCACGAATGACTGTCTAATTTATACGTTCACTCAATGGTAACACCCACTGGGCACGTTACCCTGTTGTCTGAAGGGACTGTGTCTGGTTAAGCCCTGGACTCTCTGCCTGGGGCTAAAAGGGTATTCCCCAGGTCCCCGGGGAAAAGGAGGTCCAGAGAGGGCTACCTCCACTGGGGCACAGAAAGTGCCTCTCAGCACAGTGGTTCTATCACTGTACCACTCGCACGAATCACGACCATGTGTCAGAATGCCAAGCAGTTTCCCTGGAGTGTAGGTGGCTCCCCAGTGGACACAGACCCTTTATCATCTTGAGCATCTCATCTAGAACTGAGGATGTGAGGTTTCTCCAAACACCCTGAGACCCCATTCCAAAAGAGCTGAGAACAGCAGAAGATAGCTAAGGGTGATAATACCAAATGTGCCTCTTCTGTTTGTCCCTTGGCATCAGGAAAATTCTCGTGCACACTCTCCTCAGATCTTGGGTCAGTGAGCCACCTGCTTCTTTGATATCTGCCATTTTGGCCTCCAAACGCACTATCCAAAATGAAATCCTTATCATCTGTACTCTACCCAAACTAGTCCTCCTTCACTCTTTCCCACCTCAGGAGATGTCACCATTGCCACTGTCCATTTACCTGCAGAAGCCCTGGCTTCTGGCTGGCATTTTTTCCCACATTTTTTTTTAATACAGACTAATAGGTTTCATTTCATGTATTCATACATGCACATAACATACTTTAATCATGTCCTCCCTGCACTCCCTTATTCCACCTTCCCCCAGTGTCACATTTCAGGGGGATTTTATGCATATAATGCATTTCGGTTGCATTCATCTCGCCACTATCTGGCTTTATACCCCTCTTCCCCTGACTCCCTTCCTCTTGTCTAGTGACAGTCTCCCTTCTACTTTCTTGTCGTCTTTCTAACATTCCACATATTAGGGAGAACACGTGTCATTTGTCTTTCTGAGTGTGGCTCATTTCATTCAACACAATGATCTCCAGAGCCATCCATTTTTTGACAAACGACAAAATTTCACTGTGACCGAAAAACACTCAACTGTGTATAAGTGCCGCAGTCTCCTCGTCCATCTTTGGATGGGCACCTAGGCTGACTTTACACCTTGGCTATTGTGTGCAGTTCTGACTGCCAGTCATTCTCATATTCTCCCCTCACTCTGTTTTTCTCCCAGATGGGGTCTTGCTATGTAGCTCAGGCTGCTCCTCCTCTCCATCCTAGCTCATCAGCATCCACAGGACCACTACCTCTCACATGGATCCATCTAATTGTCTTCTGCATAGCCCCCTGCTTCCCCTTATGCCCCTCATCCAACCTAGCGGTTCTCCACAGAGCAGCCCAACAGGCCACCAAATACACAAATGCAATAATATTTCTCTTCTGCTGAACACTCTTGCTTCGCAAAACCGCATTTCAAAGAAGAATCTCAGCTCCTTTCCACTTTCAACAGGCCTCCCTCTCCACCAGCACCATGGTCTTTCCATCTCTCCCAGCCTATCCTTGAGCCTCAGTGCCTTTCCTTTGTCCTGCACAAACATCAAGCTTTTCCTACCTCAGGGACTTTGCACACTCTCCCTGCCCCTCACTTTGGATCTGAGAAACAATTCCTTCTCATTCTTCAGGTTTCAGCTTAAGCACCACCTACTTGGAGAAGTCTTGCTTGTATTCTGTGCAGGATGTTAAGTCCTCATCTTTTGCACTAGGAAATTATCTACTATCACTAATTTTTGATCATGGTTTGCATGATACTTAATACATTATCAGGATAACTGCATGTCAAAAATACTAGTTGAAGGCAAGACTGAAGGAATCAGGATTGCTGCCATGCTCTTCACACCTAAGGAGATGCCAATGAACCTGTTTTTTGGTTTCATCTTCTCTCTCTTAGTGTAGCTTGCTTACATTTTTCACTGCTGTCTGCTGAGTAGTTTTCTGAGAATTCTAAGTGGCTTTGTGGACTAGAGAGACAGAATTCCTGACTCCCTGAAAATAGCAATGGCTGAATTGAGGTCAAGTCCCACTTGAAGACCAGGGAGGAAGCAGTAAGTTGTTCTGGGCAGGGTCCTGGAGCGAAGGAGTTCTCTTTCCAATTCTCAGACCATTAGATGGGTCTGAGTCCCCTCATATTAACTCAGGGGAAGGGAGAAGCTTAGTATTAGGGAATAGCACCAGGTTCTTGGTTCACCTGGCCTTGACCTCCTGAACAGCAAGCTCCTGTTCTTGTCTTTTTGCTTTTGAGTGTTCGGGCCTCCCAGTCATTCCCGATAGTCACAGTGGCCTTTGGTTTCTGACGAGATATATGGGTTCTCAACCTGGGGCAACAGTCTCCATAGGGTCCACAAACTGCTTGAAATTCTGTGCACAGATTTATGCTTACTCATTGAAGAGAGTCTATAACAGCCTGCATCAGATTTCCAAAGATATCCATAACCTTAAAAAGGTTATTTCTACCCTAGATAATTCCCATTGCACTCCAATTTTAAGTCTGCTCCACAACTGTACAATTCCGCACTTTGACAAAAACTTCTAAAGTTTCTTGGAGTTTGTTATAATGTGATATCACACAGTAGGGCTAAAACATTTCACTTTCCTTTGGAAAGACACTCTACTCTTTTTACATAGGGGATTACTATTTTCAAAAGCTTTTCTAAAGATTAAAATGGAACTGTAAAAAAAACAAACAAACAGGGACTCTAGTTCCTTTGGTGAGTTCAGAGTCCTTCAAAAACAGACAAACAAACAACCCAAGCAGTGAACTCATTACTTGGGGATAGGATCAGTAACAAAAAGTATTCAAGAGCTGAAATATAAGAGTCTTTTCAGATAATACAATTCTCTGGAAATCCCTTGAAAATTCCCACACTTCAGCCCCAGATAAAAGACCCACAAGACCAAGTACATCACTGCCCTCTGTGGTACTAATGAAACTCAAGTATGCAATTCTTCAGAGTTGACCAGGGCCTGGGGGTACAGGTCCACGGTACAGTACATGTCCAGCATGAGTGAGGCATTGGGTTCAATTCCTACCACGTTAACAATAAATCAAAACCCCCCTTAATATAAGTGAGAGTGATAATGTCTTGTGCTAAAGTTCCTGCGTAAGATGTGTCAGTGAAGGTGATAATTTCTCAAACTAATGTTGACATATTCACGCTAAAGACCTTTCACTTACTCTGAAAGTATTTCCTATCTTCACCTAAAGGTAGAGGACCAAGATCTGAGGGGCAGAGCAGATGCAAAAGTGAAGATGACAAAGGTTCCTCCTCAAAGAGCTGACGGTGTATACAGAGACATAGTAGATGACAGAATATGCAAGATCTAAATACATCTTAGAGGTACAAAGTGAATGTCATTAAAGCCAGACAAAAGAAATAATAAAGTCTGCCTGGTTCCTGAGTTTCTACATTTGATCTGCGCCTTTAAAATGGGATGAGACACCAATAATAGAAAAGCCAATCCAGGAAGGACAAAGGTCATCGAGAACACAGGCTGTCTGGTGAGAATGAGAGACTTCTAGGAGCATCAAAATGAGCTCAGGATAGAGAATTAGGTCAGGACCAGACTTTGCAGGCCATGGATCAATGAATCCTGTGCTTATTTGTTTTCTACATCATGGGGTCTCTAGAGTCTTTTCTGAAGGGCAGTAAGGACATGATTCTATATGGGGGATCAGAAGGTAAGCTGGCCACGGTGGGATGATAATGGATTATCTTATGAGACACTACTGTGAAGTACAGGGAGAAGGAGTGCAGGAGAAAATGTGCATAGGTGAATGTTACGGGGAGGGGGAGCTGAGGAGAGGGTGGGGGGTGCTGGGTAGATGGTGATGGGTCAAATTTACACAGAGCAAAACTGCAGGGAAAGGTCGTGTTAATGAGGGGACAAGCAGGAGAAAGAATGGTGAATGAGTGATCTGGAGGAGTTGGCAAGGATCTGACCAATGAAAGGGAAGAGGATGTTGCAGGGACCAGCCAGATCTGTGAATCCATCAGACGGGATAGGAAGAGGCTGTCATCTACGGGGCTCCCATGTGCCTGGCTAGTGCCTTCCACACAGCTGTACTTCAGAAACTCAAAAATGCCCACACTGAGACCCGAGCTGGAAACAAGATGAGGGCAGAGGACTGAGTAACATGTCTGTGCCAGCAGCCCCTGAGGTTGGAGTAAGAGCTCCAATTCCTAGGGGGATAGACTTAACCCCCAAGTGTCCACAGGGTGTACACTGAAGGTGGAGGTGTTTGAACTTCTTAGTGAAAACGCAAGATGAGGCTTGGGGACACTTTTCTTTTTATCATTTTAGGAGGCTAGCCTTCTCAAACGAAGTAGTTCAGAGTTTCAAAAAATAACCCTAATGGATACTAGGAGTTAAGTATTTAGAACATACAGTGGTGCCTTCATTCGTGAACTTAACTCTCTCTCTGATTCTGGCTGCAAACCGAGTAAGACAAGAACTGAATCAAATTTCCCAATAAGGTCAACACTGGGCCTAACCACTGAATTTGATTCGGTTCTTGTCCAACTCAGTTTGCCACCAGAATTGTGGTAAGAATCAAGTTCATGAACCGAGGTACCACTGAACTTTGTATTTGCTTTTGCATCTGAGTATGGACCCTATATATATGGTTTACCATTAAACAACTGTACTTCAAGATTAAAACATAATTTTATAGTGCTTTACATAATTTTTATTTATTTATTTATTGTGGTACTGGAGATTAAACCCAGAGCCTTGCACTGAGTTATATCCCCATAACCTTTAACAATTTTTTTTTTTATTTTGAGAATCTTACTAAGTTCCAAAGTTGCCCAGACTGGGCTCAAAACATGTGATCCTCCTGCTTCAGCTTCTCTGAGTGCTGGGATTATAGGGTGTGGCCACTATAAATAATTCTTTATGAAAACTATGTTGCTCCCTTTCTGTGCTTTGCTCAAAAACAGTGGGTATCACTTCAGCATCACAATAATAACATACAACTAACTCAACAATATAGCTATATCTGTGCTGTTTTCCAGAACACTGGTAGCCCTGGGTTTTCATTTTGAAGATTTAAATTAGAATTTAAGTGCACAAATAAAATGCCTCCTAAGCCTCTGTTCTCTCTCCACAGAGGTCTTTTACCACCTTTTACCATGAAGGAGTCCAGGGATGAGGGATGCACCCTACCTGAGTGCGTGGTTTCTCGCCAAGCTTGGCTGCCTCTCTTGCAACATTTCAAAAATGTTTGGCTGGCGAAGAAATGCCACAATCTTGTCATTATATGCTGAAACAGATAAAAGTGCAGAGTTTGTGGTTGAGTCTGCAGCCCACAGATAATTTCTCTGATGCCTGGAAGCTGCCTACTTGATACCAGAATTAATGTGGGAGCCTGAAGCACTCATCAAAAAAACATGTAAGCTCTTGCATTTTTCAAATGTCACACAATAGCATTATTTCAGAAAGATCAAACTAAGGGGAACAAGGTCTAGGTGATCATTCACAATATGTCAGGTACTGTGCTAGGTGTGAACTCATCCCCATGGAAACAGGTAAAGGAGAATAAAATAGCTCTCCTTTGGCAAGTGCTCTCTCCACTTCTAATTTTTCTTGGTTCTCTTGCCACAGTTATTTTGACAGAAAATTTTTTTATGAATTCAAAGAAACTTTTCCTGAGCACTTGATACAGCACATGGCCAAGGTATTGATTTTCTTATTATGATAATGGAAATACCTAGGAGTCAGACTCTTTTTGCCTCACTTTCCTTGAGACTGCGGCCTGTGTTCCGGAAACAGGTAGATGAGGTTAGGAATAAAGGCTGTTCAAACTCTTCCTATACAAACATGGAAAGAGTGATATAATCTGAAAGCTGCATCTCGCAACATTGAAGCCCAATGCCTCACATACGCTATGCTCTTCTGGACGGAGGTGAAAAATCATAGAATGGGATAGAGAAGAAGATCTGTGAGGGTTGAGAAGGTGAGGAAGAAGAGGGGAGGGAGAAAGACACATGGAGGGGGAAGGGAAGAGGAAAAGGAAATGGGAGTGAAAGATTGGGGAGGAAGTGTCATAACAGGAGAGAAAAAAAAAGACCCTGAAGTATTAAATGAGTCATGGTAAGAAAACAAGGCTAAATAATGGGTGGCCAGAGGTTCAAAGAAACACGTATACATACCCAGGGGCAACGACTCATGTTGATGTTGGCTTCTGATTGCAGCTACCAGGCTGTGTCCTGGCCTGGCCAGTAAAGAGGCTCCTCTGTTTCTAGAAACTTCTGAGGCCTAATTGAAAAACAGAAGTGTAAGACTGAAAATCTGTCATCAATTTCCGATGATCTTTTGATAACAAGTTTTCAACATAAGCAGTAAACGATACTGACATTATCTAAGTTTAAAAAAATAATAAAGTTACAGTCTTTCAAATAATGAAAAACAAACCAGTTTCTTATAAAAATGATTGAGTGGTTGATGTGTTACACACTATGGTTAAGAACGTGAGTGTGCCAAATGTCATGGATGTTATTAAATGAATACATTGAGTAGACTAAGAAACAGCTCGCATCAGAACTATGTGAGAGATAAATGCCACACAAATCTTATTCTCATGGTTTAGAACTTGGAGCATTTATCAAATTTTAAAAGTGAAATACTGAGTATCTCCTATCCTCACAGATTTTGCAAGAGAACCATGATGAAAGCAAATTTACAAATAGAGAATCTGAGGTTCCAAGAAAAGAAAGTTTTCCTAAATTTAAAACTGTAAGAAAGAGAACCAGGATTCTCACTAACATGAGGCTGTAAAGCCTTTGTTTATTCCAGTGGTGTTACCAGCCTTCATCTAACAACTTAGTTTTGGTTGGGCATTTGTGACAAAACTTCATGGGATAAATAATTTGTTTAGTCCAAAGTTGGTATTTTTAATGATGAAGCTAATTTAGCTCCATTTTAAAATTTAATAAACCTCTAAGTTCTAGATCATGATAATAAACTTGATACCACAATTACATATATATTTTGTCTTTCAGAGTAAGACACTAAAATGGGGCACTATAGATTTTCCACACTGGACTACATTTACCAGATAAATAGGACTTAGTGCACGTTATGACTCAGTCTATGTGGTGTTGGACAAAGTATAGTAAAATAGGCTTTAGGACAGTAAAGAATCTTGAAGATAACATTATGAGACACTTACAGAAAGTCCAAATACACAGATAAAACAGAAAAGAAAATTCCCTCTCCGAGACCAGTATAAAATTCACTCACAGAATTCAGGAGAGGTGATGAGAACCTGTGCCACAAAGTCTAGAAAGGTCAGGTCAATTTCACAACGGTCACTTAAGGCTAGGCCATCTGTGATAGTGCAAGTGCCAATGTCAGACAATAGCCATTTCTGATTAAAGATACGGCAACTGCTGGTGTTGCCTTGGGTCTTAGCTTTACACTTTGTACCACAAATAGCATCCTTTGTATACAGTGATGTGCTACCGTTACACTATCTGTAGGTGGCAGCCTCTACTGCTCTTTTGGCAGAGCACAGCCATCTTTCTCTCCTGGTCCTTCTCATCATCCATGGCTCACTTCATGGACACTGAAATAGCATGTGCCAGTTTTTCACTCTGATGTCCACTACCCCTCAGCTCTGCCCAGGCAGATGCTAAGAACTTTTTGTTGTGGTTTTATTTTTTGAGACAGGATCTTACTATGAAGTTCATGCTGTCTTTGAACTCACTATGTAGCCCAGTCTGGCCTTGAACTCAAGAAGATCCTCCTGCCTCAACCCCTGGAGTGCTGGGATTATAGGCGTGTGCCACCATGCTTGGTTTAAACACCATGATTTGGAAGCTGCTATTTCTGCAGCAGCACTTCCCAGTCTCAATTAAATGGTTACAGTGAAAAAGGGTGAAAGAAGTTTACCAATTATGGAGTATGGAGTCCCCACACTTCTCCTTTTCCTTCACAAATCAATTAATGTGTACAATTTCTCTGGGACTGAAACAATATGACTCTTTTCCCGGGAGAGAACGGTAAGGTCTACCTTAATGTGTGCTTAAGATATGTTTGATGATGAAAGAGCAGAATTCTCAAGTCCACTCAGTTGAACGTCATCTAAGTGACCAGTTACAGAGAGAAATGGGAGAAGTAAACAGGTCTGGAATGTGAGCTTGTCCTGGGTGCACTGAACTCAAGACCCCTGCTGTCTCACCTCAAGTGAAGATAGGTAGTGGGTCACCCCAAAATGGATAGGGTTTTGAAACAGGAAGAACTCCCTTTTCATCCCAGCTCTCATAGGAAAAGTCCTGTGTTATATATACGTTTAGGGGAAAATGGCACCTACCTCCGAGGTCACCTGCTCACTGCAAAACTAAACTGGATTGGGAAATTCAGATCCCGATCAAGTCCAGCAACCCCAGAGGCAGACTGACAAATATGCTTCAGGTGACCTCTGAGTGAGCTGGAGGAAACAACACTGGGGAAAGATAGGCTTGAGGTTCTCTGAGCCACAAACATCTGCAAAGGGCTAGTCTTGGACAACTCAGAGCCCAGGTCTTAGCATGGCAAGACAGAGTCTTTTGCAGTTAAGGCCCACGACTTGACAGAGAGGTAGTCAATTTCAGTCAAGCCTTCAGGAAATTTGGGGGATTCTAAAAATTAGCTAGAATTGAGAGTGCACTAGGGTGTTCTAGCCCTGCTCTGGTTTAAACAATCCATCCCAAGGTACTGACTTGGGTTCCCCTCCAAACATGATGCCAACATTGCTTTGTCAACTACTGAAGGTGAGTAGAAGCTTGGATTTTTCAATTACCACCAACAGTATGTGACTCAAATTTCCTGGTGTTTGGCCCTTTTGGCCTGAGTTTCTCAGGGTGTGTGTGTGTGTGTGTGTGTGTGTGTGTGTGTGTGACAGAGAGAGAGAGAGAGAGAGAAGGAGAGAGGGAGACAGAATGAGAATGTTCTCTAGTGCCTTGGCTCTCCGCAGACATGCTATGATTGATTATTCTATGACTGGATAAGTACAGCCTACTTTTAGGATTGTTTCTAATTTTTTATATGTTGATTGCTTTCCTTATAACTGTAAATATGAAAACTTCACACATTTAGCTTTCCAGACAAAACAGAATTGATACTCTCAGAAAATAGTTTCCAATGACTGGAAAAAGCATATCCTCATCACTGTAATGTAGGCATGTATACTGGCAGGCTTTTTAAAAGTTGTATTTGAAAATTGCAGGACACAGATGGCATTTGGCTAATGATTAGATAATCTTTCTGAAAACACTACAGACCTGATGATTAAAATAAATAAATAAAATCAGAGGAAAGGCTCCAGTGATGAATCTACATAATCTTTAGATACCTTTTGTACTTTAAAAAATGGATCATTAGTGAAATTTTCAGCTGGAGGTAGTGGTTCTTGTCTATAAACCCAGCACTTTGGGAAGCTGAGACAGGAGGATGCCAAGTTTAAGCCCAGTTCAGGCAACTTGGCAACTTAACAAGACCCTCTTTCTAAGTAAATTAAATACATACATGGATAAATTAATAAATGAATGAATGAATGAATAAATAATAAATAGGGCAGGGGATGTAAGGCCCCTGTTTTCTTCCCTAGTATCATCAAACAAAACTAACTGATAAAATCTTCAGAATTATCTTATGGAAACAAACAGATCTAGATATGGATTGTTGGATACATTGAATTGTTTAATGGAGCAGTGAAAAGTGGGTAAGAAACATAATGCAAGCAGAGATCCTTGAATTAAGTGATGATACATCCACATGATGAAATATCACACAAGACATTTGAGGCCTGGGAATTGCCTCCAAAGGTATTGTAAAGGTAAAGCAGAGCCACAGGCACCGAGATCCAATCTCCCACTTCTAAATGCCCTAAGAAGTTATCCCAGATGCTTACCATATCTGTCTGAGTTTTCTACCCTCATCACATATTGTTTATAATTAGTTTGTTTGTTTGTTTGTTTATTTATTTATTTATTTATTTATTGGTGTCCGGGTTGGAACTCGGGACCTTGCGCTTGCAAAGCAGGCAGCAGAACCACTGAGCTAAATCCCTGGCCCTAATTAGTTTATTTCCCAAAGTGTCTGAATTTTGCAAACTTCCAGAAAAAATTATCATGAAGTATAGGTCATACAGACGGAAGAAGACATCTACCAATTTTAAGAAGCAATGCAAAAATTACTTTTCTCCCCAAGGGGAGCTTTCTTCAAGAAAACTCCATGTCTACAGAGCCAATGCAATGACCTTTGCTGCAAAAGTAGCTCACTGCTAAGAGTTACTGAGATGACTTCTGTTTTAAAGTCAAAAGTTTGTCTTCCCTGCCAGTCCCTTTGCCGTTCCCCAGAACAATCACTGTTAAGCTTCTTTGTGTCTATCTCCAGAAATTTTTTATGACTAGTGATTTTCCTAACCTGAATAAGATAAGGTTATAAAAATGATGCATTCTTATTTTTCCTTATAAATATTAAATGATACGGTTAACTGCAGTAACGACATAACACAGGTGTTAACCTTCAGTGATTTCCTTACTGCCAGGGAAAGTGTATGAGTGTTACAACCCTATGTACTCTTCTACCCCAAAGGAAAGGGATGTGCAAAGCCACACAGCTCCTCTAGGAGAGGCTGGCACTGGGGCTCCTCTCTGCTGACTAAAGCTCCAATTACGCTCTGCTCCACACTGTGAACCTGTTTTCTGTCTCTTTGCCACTCTGACTTGGGACCTTGGGGTAGTCAGCTTTTCCTCACTGTAACAAAATATCTGAGATGAACAAGGTACAGGGAGAAAAGGTGTGCTTCAGCTTGTAAGTAGTTCTGGAGGTTCCAGTCCATGAGTGGCTGTACTCATGGAGAGCATGGTAGAGTGCAGTTGTTCATCTCATAGCTAGGAGGCAAAAGACAATGAGGAGAGGGCCAAGGTCCTTATAGTCCCATGCAAGGGCATGTCTTCAATGACCCAAAAGCCTCCCACTGGACCCCATTTTGGGGGTGGCTTCTGGGCATCTCATCCAGCGCCTTGTACTTGCTAAACACACACTCGACTGTAAAGTCATACTCCCGGCCCCTAGGCCCCAACTGTTAAAGATTGCTTACATCACCTCCCTGTAGCACATCCTGAGGACCAAGCCTTTACTATCGAGGTCTCTGGGGGACATTCAACAACCAAATGATAGTGGCTCCTCATCTCCCACTGGACTGTGGCAATGGCCTCTATGGGGCCTCTCCATCACATCCTTGTGCACAGACCTCCTTCTTGTCCTTTATAGTCTCCTTTTCAAGATTCCAGTTTACAAGGGGAGGATTAGGAAATCTGAGCTGTGTTCCTGAACTCCCTGAGTGACTTCAGTTCTTTGGTTTGCTTAATTTATAAAATATGATTCTTACCCAGGTTGGTACTACCACTCGACTAGGGGTTGGAAATGCTCAGGGGTATGACAGCTAATTTTAGGTGTCCACAGCCTGAATTAAAGGATACCCGGATAGTTGGTAAAGCATCGTCTCTGAGTGTATCTGTGAGGGTGTTTCCAGAAGAGTCTGGCATTGGAATCACAGAGTGGTTAGGAATGTCCACACTCACTCAGTGTGAATGGGGCCTCCCCTTGGTTGACAAACCAGAAAAGCAAAAAAAAAAAAAAAGGCAAATTCAAATACTCTCATATGTAACTGGGACACCCTTCTTCTCCTGCCTTTGGATACCAAAACCCCAGGCTCTCTGGCCTACAGATTACAGGACTTGAACCACTAGTTCCCAGGCTCTGAGGTCTTCAGACTTGAGCTAAGTTGTGCCACCAGCTTCCTTAGTTCTTCCACTTGCAGAAAACACATGTGGGACTTCTTGGGTCTATAATCACATGAACCAATTAACACAATCAATCACTGCTCAGCTGTCTATCCATTTATCCACTTATCTATCTATTGTACTGGTTCTGCTTCTTTGAAGAATCCTAACTAGTACAGCACTTTCTGCTTTGCTTTATTTTTTCCTCTGTTTTCATCATCACAATGACTGGTGAAGTGGGGTCACTTTGAACATTCAATGGACAGGACAGGAAGCAAAGGTCCTGGAATGTTATGGGACAATTTAACATCTCAGAAAACTGCCCTGACCTCAAATGCCAAAAGTCTCCCTCTGCTGAGAAACAATAGTTGGAATGTTTTCAAATGTGCATTTTTTACACAAAAACCATCACAATACTTTCCTCAAATTCATTCCATGTGCTCTTCTAGAGGGGTGTGCAAAGCCTTCCCAAAACCATTACACAGCCACATGGACGACCTACTGTTTCATATAGATCTTGTCTCCTCTGCACCTTCGCTGATTCTGCTTTTTGCAAGGCTGCCCTTTTTCCTCCTTTGTGCCTGACTAGAGGTTATCAGTCTCCAAGTTCCAGGTCAGATACCTTATTGTAGAAGGTACCTATTATCCTTGGCCTCTTCTTGATACTTATCCTAATGTATCTCATGGCACCTGATCATATTCTTCTTTCTCTCGTCACTCCATCTGTGTTTTTAGCCTGGCTTCAAAAACAGAATACAAATGACTGTTTCACACGCCTCTGTATTCCACAATGCTCACGGCAAGATATGGCCCAAATCAGCATTTGGTGAGCAAGGCCACATTACAGCATACACCATCCACATGACTCACGGTGTCTGTGTTTTGTAACAGAGCCCCCCCCCCCGCCATTCCCTAAGCTGTGGGTTGTCACAGCAGGAAGAACCACATATGTGTGGAGTCTTTGCTTTCTTTGCTGTGTCCCCTCTGGATCAAACATCCTCTGCATCCACCTTCTCTCTATTGTTTTTCTTGGTTTCTCCATGTTGGTCTACAGCTACCAGGAGGGGGCGGTGGGCAGACGGAGGGGTGAGGTCTGAATATCTAACATTCAGAGTGAGTGGAGTGGGTTCATTAAGAACGAGACAGACGGCTGATATACCATCACGCCCTTTTCACTGTCACATGTTAGAGCCGTTCAGCTGGTTCTTGGCTGGTGCTGGTGTCACTTTGCTCTTAATGTTGCTATGAGAGGAATTAGACTATGTTCTTCAATCTTATCAAATAGATGCTCTGGAACAGGTAATGTAAGTGGAACCCCTCGCTCAGTCTTGTTCTATTAGCAAGGTCTTTAATATTTATATTTTCTGATGAATTTCTTATAATTGGATGAGATTTAGGAGGTCCATCTTCCATCGGGTGATTGATGTTTTTGTTTTACTGGTGGTAAATTCCTGCTGTACTCAGCTTCTTTCTTACCCGTTGTTATCCTATATCATTACTGATATTGCCTCAATCATATTCAGAAGGTTGGGCCTTTAAAATCCATTGAAATGGCCTATTTTAAGTCGATGCAGAGTTTTGAATCTATCTACTATAATCTTAGATACTGGATCTTGTACTCCCTCAAGTGCTACGTAAGTTGCCACTAATTAGGGGGAATATGAACACTGAGCTGGGAAGCCAGGCCACTGTTTTCTCTAGTTAGAGGTCATCAGCATCTAGAGAATCCTGACATCCACAAAATGTTCAGGGATGTATAATACTCCCTATCTGCATGGCAAAAACCACACTTTACTTATATGCAGAAAGAAAGGTTTAATATGCTTTTAACAGGGTCCTGAAACAAAATTACTTAAGATAGCCCCATGAATGAAAAATTTATTTTGTCACACTGGCATTAAGCCATGAGTGCCTCTGGTTAGAAGTTATACCTCTCAGAGTACACAGAGAACTACTTTTCTTAAAAAAGAAGTAAATAGTTCCAATAATCAACAACATCCTTTTTTTTTTTTTTTTTTTGGTTCTGGGGATCAAACTTGGGCCCTTGTACTTGCAAGGCAGGTGGAGGAACCACTGAGCCAAAATCCCGGCCCAATTCAACAACATCTTGAGTCTGAGGTTTGCTATCTGGAGGGGATAGCTGTTGGGTGGGCTGTAATTTTTCCAGTTTCCCCTGAGAGGTTCACAATGGCTCTCCCTGACACGTCCTTCACTCTCTATTCCTTTCTTCCTCTGTCACTTTTTTTCATTTTTTTGCCTCACAATAATCCAATACTACAAGCTGTCATACAGGAAGTGGTTTTCCAAGCCTACATCTCCTGAGATCCTGGTGGTTGCTATGAAGAGGGACAAATTCTTGAGAAATATCAGGACATAGAAGGGATTTGCTCACAATCCTAAAGAACTGACTGATGTCAGTTTTGGCTTGAGAAAGAAAGAAAAGGTACGTGGTATAGGGAGTAATACAGAAAGGCCATGAAGTGCCACCTTTCATGGCTTAGCAGAAGGAAAACACGGCAGTGAAGGAAGATATAAAACCAGGGAAGAGCATACAGCAGGGTGGGAGTAGAGTATTCATATAGGACCAGGCTTATTATCCTGGTTTTTAGTCCACACATACACCATACTGATGCTTTCTCCAGGATCTTATGGAGATGCAGAAGTTCAAACCAGGCATGGAGTGCACAGTAGTGACCTTGTAAGCATGCACGTGTGACTGGTAAGGAAAATAACTAGTGCTAAGATCTCCTAACAGTTTCCTTTAAACTAGAGATATTTTTAGTGGTGTTGATTTGGACTAAGTGAAAGCAGAAGGAAGGTGATTGGAAGACAGGTCTAGGGAGTCCCACGGGCGTCCCACAGCGGTCACTTATTCGAGAGCACACTGGCTACGCCCGTGGCTTCATCTCTTACGGAGCAGGCAGCTCTAGATCCCAGCCAGGAAGAGTTCTGCCCCTCCAGGGCACCAGGAACGGTGCAGCTGGAGGGTGGGGTGGGGAGCATTACCTCTCCGGCACTGTAACTTCGGAGCCTCTGGAGGTGCTGGCGATGAGTCAGATGATTGGGAAGGCGGCCGTTCTGGAGAGGGATGCGGGGGTCAATGAAAGTGGTGGCTCGACTGTTGTGGTCCACGAAAAAAGACTGTGGGCAAGCAGGGGAAAGAAGGACAGCATGAGAATACGTGGAAATGGTCCGCAGCACAGGGGAACAGGAGGGACAGGGTTCATGTGTTAGGCTGTCTGCTGCCCCCCCAATCCCCTGTCACACATTTTTCAATCTACTCCAAAGTCACCCACACAGATGGCCCTCAGGCACCACGTGTCTGTTTAAGCATTAGCTGAATAAACCGGATAACTCAAATCACCCCCAAATATTACAACGCAAAGATAACTGCCAAAATATTTTGGTGATCCTCACCTCCAGCTTTTTCTTTTCTTATGTATGTATCTCCAAATCTACACTTTTAGTTGATGCTATATAAAACATGATCAGCAAACTGCTCTGGTTAACGACAGTTTGGTAAACGGTCATGTTAACAATTATGACATCTGAAATATTTTATGAAGTAACTACTTTAGTAAAGTCACTATTATGGGGACTTTAAGCAAGTGAATGGCAATGATGTAAAAAAACACAAATAAAGAATCTAAATAAAAGCCTCCTGTGGTGGCTCCCTCTTGCAATCCCAGCGTTCTGGGATGCTGGGGGAGGAAGACTGCAAGGGCTCTGGATTCAATCCACAGCACTGAAAAAAAATCTGAATAAGATTGCAGTGTTAGTTTATAAAAAAAGTTTGGTTATATGAGATTCTAAACATACAAATATAAGTTAACTTAATAAATACTGAAAAGGGATTTTTTTATTATTCAAGAACATGCCTAGACATTTATAAATTAAATAGGGTCCTTATATTTATTCACGTTGCAGTCATTTTTTAAAAATTTTAAATTTTTTTTTTAATTTTATTGAGTTTATTGGTACATTTTAGGGATACAGTACAGTTACATTCATTGTTGGGATCATGTACCTTTACATGGCAAGTCTTGATTCTCATTTTTTCCCCTTACCTCTGCCCTCCCTTCACCCCCTCCGAGTGCTCATTTGCAGTACTGAATGATCACAATCATTGTGGGGATTTGGTACAGGTACATAATACATCTTTTCTATTAATTCCTGGAAGTTGAATTGATCACTGAGGTAAAAGTTAAGAGAAAAAGCTGAGGTCATCAATCCGTATTAACACACCACCTTCCTGACAGTTGTACAGATTTACTGTCTTACCAGAAGCCGGTTCTGTGTGCTCCTTTCCATAATGCTCTCAACAGATACTGTGTAATTTTGTAAGCACTCTTAGAAATGTTAAATGGTATATAATGGTGAATTACAATTTACTGTGGAATTTACAAAAGAAAAACATTTTCTTCTTAAAGGTTTAATTTCATAGCTCAATTTCATTAGAGAAAGTACAGGCTTCTATGGTGGGTCTCTTTTGCTGTTGTTGGGTATTAAGATTATCTTATTTAAATGTGTGCTTAGTTACACACTTGCCTTCATGTTGGCTTTTGATTTTTTTTTTTGCTTTGCTTTATAATACACAAAATTTTTACATTTGTCTGAACTAAAATATTTTAGTCACTGCTTTCTAGGGATTAGTTAAATGTTTTAAGTATATTATTCTAGCTTTTTCAAAATAGTGAATTAATTGTTAACACCAAATTCTGGATCTTTTTGAAACTTATCTGGTATAGCGTGAGTTGTAACTTGATGATTTTTTCATACAGTCCATTTCCCCAAATCACCTGCTCCCCCGCCCCCTGTTTTTTTTGGTCCTGGGGATTGAATTTGGGACCTTGTGCTGGAGAGGCAGGCAGCGGAACCACGGAGCTAAATCCCTGGCCCTACTCCCTATCGTTTTATCCCATGTACATTTCTTTCTTTTTTTCTCTCTCTCTCATTGAGTTTATTGGTACATTTTAGGTATACACTACAGTTACATTCATCATTAGGATCCTGTACCTCTACATGACAGGTCTTGGTTCTCATTTTCTCCCCTTGTCCCTGTCCTCCCTTCATCTTCTCCTCCCCTCCCCATTTAAAAACACTTTATTTCCATTTTTTCATTTTCTCATATATTTTTCCCTTATTACCTTTCCCCTACCCTTCCCGCTTTCCCTACACTTTTATACCTTTTCTTCCTATTTCACATTGTCAATTATATCATTAGGATCTTATGTACTATTATAATTTTTCACACCAGAGAAACTATTCGGTATTTACATGTGTGACTTATTTCACTTAGGAGTATATCCTCAATATGTATCCATTTTCCTATGAATGAATCTAATTTCTCATTGTTTATGGCTGAGTAGTATTCCATTTTATAGAAAAACCACATGTACATTTCTTATTAACACCACTCTGTCTCAGGCACCTATCTCTGTCTAACAGTCTGTGGGATTTCCAAATAAGGTGTGTAGGGTAAGTTTCCTCTTCATCTTTTCCAAGATTTTTTTTAGGTGTTCTTGTGTGTTTATTTTTATTTTTAAGATAAACTGGTATTTGAGTTATTAAATTCTAATACTGTTCTATGGAGATTTTTCTTGGAATCACCTTAATTCCTTTTCTTGGAATCACATCACAGATGATGGGGGCTGTAATTCATTCGTTATGACAGTATTTCCATTTCCCATTTCTGAACATGTCTATGAAAGATTTTTTTCCCCTGTATAAGTGTTCTAATGTCTTCCCGACTCATATTTGAGATTAAGATAGTGTATAGGTACATATATCCTCTTTGCTTTTCACTTACAAGTAATGACGATTTTGTCTCTTTTGGAAGGGGCCCTTATATTTTCTATTTCTCTTGCAGTACTGGTGAGAAGTTCTAAAGTACTGCTAAATAAGAGGGGGCAGTTGCAGTATTTCCTTGTTTTTCGATTGGGAGATGCCTGGGGTCCATTTGCCAAATAGATGTTGCTTACTGTTTTACGTAGTTACATTGTGCTACAGTTTGGATCCTGAATGGCTGTCAAAGGGCCATATGTCAAAGGCTTGGTCCCTGGGCCGGTGGAGCTATTGGGAGGGGGTGGGATCTTTGGTAGGTAGGGACTGGTGGTAGGAAGTTAGGTCATTGGGAACATACTTTTGAAAAGAAAATTGGACAGCACCCCCTTCCTGTCTGCCACGAGGTGAACCAGCATCCTCTTTCATGTGTTCCTGCCATGATGTGCTGCCTCTTACAGACCTCAAAGCCATGGGCCTACTGACCATGGACTGAAACCTCTGAAACCATGAGCCAAAATGAGCCTTTCCTCCTTATAAGGATTATTCCAAGTATTTCATCACAGTCCTGGAAAGCTGACTGGTGGAATGACGTTTTTTAAAGAAGTTATCACACAAATTGCTTGATTTTCATTTGCAAATAATTTTGTCTCCTTCACAGGAAATTTTATTTTACTTCCTTTCCTATAATGTTGATGAGAGTATATCACATTTTAGACTTTATTGTTACTAACAATACTTTTTGTTTTTAAATTGTAAATACATACTTATTTTATTAAGTACTTTTCTAGCATTTCTTAAAATGATCTATTGAAATTCCTCAATAATTTATAAACTATTGGTTAAATATTAGTGATAACACATTTATTAGTAGTAAATGACTCAAATCTTTTGGAGAAATATTGTTTAATTGGATGGTCACTTTTATGCTGCCTAATTTAACTTGACTCTTTCTTTTTTTGGGTGCTGAAGATTGAACCCAGGGCTTTCCACATACTAAACATGAATTCTACCACTGAGCTACACCTTTGGTCCATAATATTTCATGTTTTAATATTGGCTTTTTGGAACTCAATAGAGTTTGCCTATAGTTTTGCTTTACCTTTTTATTAAAGGTTCAACAGTCTCTAGGTTTAGTTGAGTGTGGTGGAACACTCCAATAATTCCAGCACTCTGGGAGGGTAAGTAAGGCAGGAGGATTGCAAATTTGGGCAATTTAAACTTAGTAACAGCAAGACTTTAATAAATTTTTTAAAAAGGGACTGTGGATATAGTTCAGTGTGAAAGCCCAGTGTTCAATTCCCAATACCACACAATAACATTCCTAGTTTTTAATTTGTACTCCTATGCACACAGTTTTATGCAAATTTATTATCTGCACAGGTTCCTGTATTTACTACAACAACCAGGACACAAAAACGTTTCTTCACCACTGGGGTCTTTCAAGTTGCCCTTTTATAATTATGCCCACCTCCTCCCCACAGCCATCCCACCCTTAACTCCTGGCCAACCAGGAGTATGTAAATATATAATATTTTGGGATTGGTGTTTTCATTCAGCCAAGTTCCTGATTTCATCCACGTTGCTGTCTTCACTCTGTTTTTTTAACTTCTGAGTAACATTCTATGGCATGGATATAGCAGAGGTTGTGCTAATATGTGTTGTTTGTCTGGTTTTATCAGCAATATTAGGTTTGCTTCATAAGATGAACCCTGCATTTTTCCTGCACCTGGAGTAAAGATATGCGGGCAAGTAATTCACTGATGCATTTTTTCACTTATCCCATGATTACAGATTAATCAAGGAAATTATACTTCCCAAGTTGATTTTTTGTTAATTATCTACTTTACTCTTTACAACATGATTCATCTTTCCAGATTCTCTAACACTGATTTCAAACTTTTATACAACTAAGTGTAGAATTTTATTTTATTTTTATTTTTCATTGATTTTTCTTTATGTAATATAATGTTATCTGGCTTGTACGATATAGTTAGTGTCTTTAATTGTGTCATGGATTAACATAAACTTTTTCTCTGGCCCCATTTAATGATTATGGATCTGAGGTATATAATATTTTACATAATATTAATATACCACTGCTTTTTTTCTGCTATTGCTTTTTTACATTATATAAATATTCTTTGATTTTTAAACTTTCTGAATTGTTTCTTAAATATCTTAATAAGCTGGATCTGTTTGTTACCAAATCTGAAAGTGTTTTCTTTTTGGTATGTAAATTTATTCTCTTTCCACCTGTTGGCATATCTGTTATGTTTGGCTTTACTTTTGTTATCTTATTTTTATTTTTCTCCATTTTAATCACGGTTTTATTGTGTTTTGTTACACAAACTATGTTTTGTTTGATGTTATCTTTTGTAGAAATTTAGAAGAGAAATACCCTGTTTTAAATGATACAAAAAGCTGCCTTTTAAGTCTGTCAAATAAGTGCATGAAAATTTCCCAATTTGTGTCCCCTTCCTCCAGCTTGGAGCCTGGCACAACTCTCCTTCCTCACCAACTCTTCCTCTTGGTGCTTTTTTAATTCATCTTTTTTTATTGTAGTCTTGGGCACTCATACAAATACTTATTGTATTATTTTTATGTATCTTTCTGCATTTTACTCAGGCTTTTCTGATATATTTTTTAAAAGTTTATATAAAAAATATTGATATGTAGATTTCTGTGTTGGAGTAGTTTGAATCCTCATCACTAGTCCTTCTTTTTCTTTTAACTGTGATTTGTCCATTTTGATTTCTTGTTTTGCTTCATCAATAATCCACTCAGAGAGTGGCTTTTGGTATTTGATCAGGACAGGTGAAAGCATAGGGTAAGCTCTGATCTTGCTCACGAGGTTGTTTCTCTATTGTCACATAGGAATAACCATAATTTGCTTGTAGAATCATTGGCCTACAAACCTTTCTCATCAGTAAGCTATAATTGTTGCTGTGTGGATTTCTAGAGGTTAGCTTTTGGGTGAGAAATCTGAGGTTGTCTGCTTTTTATTCTGTTGTAGTCAACTTTTATATTAGTATGGTTATATATTGATAGGATCTTAAAAGCTTAAAGAGATTCCATAGGTACAAAATTTAATTAGTTTAAAAAAATTTATTGCTAGTAATATTTGTGTACCTTTATGGAATATATTCAAATTATTTTGACTCAATGAACCCAATTACTTTGCCTACTTGAATAAATTTTTAGATTAGCAAAGGCTTTATAATTAATATTTATTATTTACTTATTTAATGATTGCTGCTATACCTATTATTATGGTTTCTTCTCCAGAAATCTCTATAAATAATTGAGCCAACAGATTTATTGAGTGTCAGCTATGGTGCTGGGTGGTATTCTGGGATTTTATCAATGAGTAAAGCAAAGATTCTTGCTTTTAAGGAGCTTAAAGTTCTACCACGAGAAACAGAGAACACACACTACGTAGTAGAGTCTGTGGGTGAGGGATCTGGGGTGTTAGTTAATTGAGTAGTTGGGATGGCCTCACGGAAAAGGTGATAAGGTTTTTTTTTTTTTTAGGAGAATTTTGCACCTCTTCTTCTTTCATTGATGGAAACCTGGTCCCTCTCTGCTATGTTGGATGCTGTTTCCTCCATCATAGGCTCCATCAGTGATTTGATTTCCCATAGCATCAATTCTGTTGTTTATTTCTTTGCTGTTAGCTTAAAGAAGTTGATATTTGTCCTCTTCTCTTGTCTGCTTCTCCTCAGCTTGTTTTCAGTCTGTGACCTCTTCCTATTGCTTAATAGAAGTCACGTATCATTTTGTGGATGAGGAGCAGAGTATCTTCAAAACTTCCATTTTCTGAAGAAAATTATACTTTGTCTCAAAACAAAATGTGGCTCACTTGATGTAGTAGCACCTCTGTAGGTCCCTCAGGCCTATGCCTGTCCTACATTAGGACCCATGTGCCTGAGGACCCACCACCTCCCTGGATGATATCTGTCCCCCTTGGCCCAGACATGAGCCCCCACAGAATCTCCATCAAAGTTGGGCTGAGGCTACATCCTCCTTTCTTAGGTTTTTAACATGACAAAGAAGTGAGCTGCCATTTTGATTTTTGCTCCAGTCTTCCCAGAGTATCACAGATCCAAGCTCTTCCTGTTTCCCTTTGGGGATGACTGTGCATTCAGACATACCAAACAGCTCTGACCCTGCCATTTTACTTCCTGCTGTGTTGCATAATGAAAGGGAAGGCTGGAATCTCTGAACATGTGGCTAAAGCAAGAAGACAGGCTAGGATGAGGGACAAGAAGATGATTTTTGGTATTTTGGAACCTGGTCTGGCCAGTTGTGAAGTTGGTTGTAGCACAATGTCCCTGTCATTCCAGTTGTTGGTGAATTTGATATTCCAACTCCCAGTCTTCTGTGGAACACATTCTTTCCAGGTTAGAAGATTGAGCCTGTGGGATATGGTCCCAAAATGTTTTCCCCAGTTCTTCCCATTATCAGTGTGCTTTGACAATGAGGTATTTTTAAATTTCCTCCATGATTTTTATTGTGCACATTTACTATAGGAAAATCAGATTAGCAGACACTTTTAATCTGCCACAGTATTTTCATGAGTTCCTATATTTCTTATTTATTTTTTTCATCTGGTTATAAAATTATGAAGGCAGGTAAGGAATTATTACTTTTCTTTTATGATGAGCAAAGTGAGGCTTGGAGAGGTGAAAGGACTTGCCCAGGGTGATGTGTTTGGAATGAGAGGGGACAGCCATGTACACAGGCCCTGCTCTTTTTCCCTATGAGGCTCAGTTGTTTCTCTCTGACCACCCTATAACCGTCATCATATATTTTGAAACTGAAGGCTAAAACTTTAGCAATTCAGTACATGGTATGTCTTGGAAATTCTGCTTGCCCACTACAAGTGTGTGTCCATTTTACAAGGAACTGGTGAAACCATTTTTGTGAGTATGTTCAGTCACAGCTAGTTAACTGAAAGTGAAACTCAAGTGCTCTCATTTCAAGTTCAGATTTGTTTTTTCTTTTTTTGCACATGATATATCATACTGAATACAATTTTACGGGAAATATCTCGCACCAGAAATTCCCTAATTTGTATTCTGAAATGAAATCAAATTCTTGGTGTGTGTCTCAGCCACTGTGGCCTCTGCTAGTGTGATGACTGAGAAGTGACCATATCACCTGCTGTGTACCATTAAGAACCAGAGTATTGTACTCAGAGGCCCGTCACTCCATGAGCTCCCTATCCTGGTGCGAGAGTTGCAGTCATGGACTCAGGCTAAGCAAGTTCACATTAGCATGTGTTTTTTGCACAGTAAACACTGCTGTTTTGTTCACTGGTTCACTGGTGTCCTCTAGGCGTCTTGGTTAAACACTGCATGGCAATGTGGTGACTGAAGACTAATGAGATGAGGTAGCTGTGCTCTGGCTGTAACAAGATTCTCCTCTCTACTCTGTGCTGGCTCAGGCTTATTTGCTACCCTAATACATGGCCATTAAGTCCTCACAATACAAATCACTCTCATTTTCCCAGTGGAGGCCACGCCACCAAAGAAAGTCCTAGGTAGTAGTTTCTTTCCACGGTGGCTTTTCTGTTACATAGGGATGTTCCCTCTCTTGCCAATTTACCACCAACTCCAGAGGAGCAGTCCTAGAGTCATTAATGAACTTAGGAATTGTTGGTAGCACATTCTTTGCTCACACACTCTGGATAGTCCTGGTTCTCAGGTGTGCTGAGTGGTTTGTGGGAGTGGGATTTATGGCTCTTAGGGGACAATGAAGCCTCATCAGCTGCCTTTGGGAAACTATGGCTTAGGTCACATGAGGGCAGAGAGCTGACCAGAGCAGCTTCCAGTGAAGGACAAGGCTGTTGGCCAAGCTTCCTGTTCCTTAGGCTTAAAAGAGGGAGAGGTTCTCTTTGGCAAAGTTCATTAAAAGTTACATAGGAACCATTTTTTAGTAAACTTCTTGGACTGCCCTTTATATACACTGAGACACCCAGTGGTGATTATGAGAAAGTCTCATTCTGGCAAACTCAGCTAGAGTCCCAGAGCACTGCTGGGAAGGACAACGGGGGCTATAGTCACACAGAGGCAAGTGGACCAGGAACGCAACACTGGCCCAGCACAACCCCTCCCTGTTGGGCAGGTTTGTTTTAAGAACTGAAGTATTATTAGGGAGATCACAAGGATGTAATAATGACACCCACACTGAACCAATAATTCTACCCCAAGAGTTCGCGACCAAAGGAGACAATGCAGCAGACAGGGCACTGAGGAGAAGCTGGCTTCCTGTGCCAAATCTAAGTTTAAAACGGTGCAGAGAGCAGCTCTCAAGCCCCCAACAGGAGAGCAGGCACGTCACAACAGGGGCGTGTCACTGGCATCTAGTGGGCAGCTAGGCATGCTGCTATCTCATAATGCATAGGACAGTCCCTCCTCCTGGCTTTCCCCAACCCTAGTGCTGAGGTTGAGGCACTGCCGAGTTGACAGTCATTGCTTCCCTTCTTCCCGGCAGCTAATAGCACATCTTGGAGACACAATGACTTTCCCCCTGGAGACCCTCCTCACTTTTTCCCTGGTCTTCTCCCTGGGGGAACTGCAGCATTTGATGAAAACCCCACACATCTGTCAAACTCACCTTTCCCTGCTGGTCCGTCTTGATCTCCCAGCCCCGGGGCAGCTCCAGCCGAGTGTCTGCAAACATGTTGATGAAATTCACCAAGTCCCGGTTGTGCTGGTAGCGTTCAAAATTGCGTGCATCTCGACGGACTTTCAGAATCATGTGCTTTAAGCAGGTACTACTGGTGAAGACTCGGTAGGCACTCTGAGAAAGATGGGTGAGGTGGATTAGGGGACAGAGTGGGAAAAGAGGAGAAATACAGACTAAGTGGAACTGGGCACTTTGACAAGATCTAATGTGGTTGCTACAGTGACTTACTGTGACTGTGAGATGGAGGCCTTAGAAGCAGAGAGCTTGTTCAGGAAGTAAATGTTCACATGGGGACCTATTTGCCAGCCCAGTTTGACGTGACTGCTTAACAGCCTTGGTCACTACAGGTCCTATAAATCTCTGCACCCTCCTGCACCTGTCCCAGCTGGACTTGGCTCTCTCGAGCTCTCCCTCTCCGAGCATTGCTCTTCTCTTCCCCGACTCCTTCTCTGACTGCAGAGGTGTGTGCCTCTGGTCTAACACAGGGCAATAGCTCAGGGTCCCTAGGAATTTTTTTTTTGTTTTGAGAGCAGGTCTCACTATGTAGTTGAGACTGACCTGGAACTCACTACATAGCTCAGGCTGGTCTCGCACTTGCAGTGATCCTTCTGCCTCAGCCTCCCTAGAGCTGGGATTACAGGCATGCGCCACCACACCCGGCTAGGGTCCCTAGGAATTTAAGACTAAACTTCAAAGGTCTGGCATTCCTCTGAATCCTATGTAAAATGTTGTGCAGGAGAGAGATCAGGGTATGAGATGATAGAAGTTTTAGGAGTTTCTTAATGTGTCAAATGACACCTTCATGGTACATGGGGTGTGCGTGTGTGTGCACATGTGAGCGTGGTTGTGATAGACAAGCGAGGGAGAGTTGGCCCAGTGGTTCCTCCTGTCCCAGAGCCCACTTGGTATCCAGTGTGTAGTGCAGAGACATCAGCATGGGCCACACTTGGCACCCTTTGCACCCCTGGGAACTGTACTGAGCCTGACGATGAGTGTCCACTTCTCTATCATCTCATCAAGACCCTGCACTTCCTGCCTTCTGGAATCCCTACCTAAGTCAGGTGCTTAAAGCAGAAACAGCTGGGTCTTCCTTAAATCTCCAACTTCTACCACCAGAGGGGGTTCAAACGCCATCAGTTGGAGAATCTCTGGCTGTTCCTGTTTGGAGCCATCGCTTGCCACGCTCCCAGCCCCATTTTCAGGTCAGGCCTGGGTCCTCTCTCACCTGAGCAGCTGAATCAGCCTCTAATTCTGGCCCCTAGGTGGCTGCCCACAGTCTGCAGAAACATCGCTTCATCAGACCTCTTTATTATGTAGCCCCATTACTTAAGACCTGGAGGGTTCCTGTTGCCCATGGAACTTAACCCGGGCAGCCACCTACCCTCCTGGCACAGGGGCACCTTCCTAACTGCATCCTTCCTATCACACCATCCCTTGGCCTAGACTTTTTCTCGCTTCCATGCAATCAGCTGTCATGTCTGCTCTGCAGTGCTCCCCTCCCGTCTCAGCTTGGGCTCTTTCCTATCAACATTTTCACTAACAGCCACCTACTGTTTAGGTGTCTACTTGTTTAGGTGTCTTTGTGACTCCAGAACCCAGATCTGTGCCTGATTTCGCCCAAAGAACAGAAAGCACAGTATTTGTGGAATGGAAAATTAATAAATATAGTGATATTGTGCTAATATCCCCCCAAAATATCTATGTATATATGTGAAATCACACCAAATTTAAGGTCAGCATGATATTTGAAAAATGACATTGAGAGGAGACCTAGTTGTGCAGTATATTTTAAAATTTCTTTAGTGCAAATTTTATAAAATAGTTAAGGCTGAAGGGAATCTGATTACTTCATAAACTTGTTCTTTTAAAATTTTAACAAAAAAAGGAAGGGAAGGGACAATTAAAGTATGTTATGTGCATATACAAATCTACCCAAATGAAACAATTAATTTGTATAACCAATATGCATTAATAAAAATGTGGAATAAAAGAAAAATAAAGTAGTAGTTATGTAACTCAGTGCAAAGGCCCTGGGTTCAACCCCTATGGGGAAAAATGGGAAAGAGAAAAAGAAAAAAATAACAAAAACAAGGACTCCAATTGAAAAATTTATAACAGTAATAGAAATACAAGTTTGTTTCTGAAGCATTTTCATTGATTCAGACCTAAAAAAAAAACCTCAAGAGGCAACAGCATTTCTATATCTAGCCTTTTGCTTTTAGGGGGACTGGCAGATAGTGAAAAGAGTGTACTGACTGTCTTTTTTCCCTTTGCATGGATAAAAAGTCTCTTTAATTTATCAAGTGACATTAAAAATCTTTCCTTATGTCTTGAAGAACCTAGGCCCCTCCCTGTCTTGAACACTCACGTAATTGGCATGCAACACGGTGAAGAATTCAGGGTTGGTGATGAACTTGACAGCAGGGGACTGCAGCAGCAAGGTGATTTTTTGTGAATTCACAGGAGAAAGTGACCCTTCTCTCCTCAGATCTGGAAAACAGTGGAGCAAAGGAATGAACAGATTGGAAAAATATTCACTTCAAACTCGGTACAGTGGTACCTTGGTTCACAAATTGAGTTTGCTTCTCTATTCTGGAAAAGATGGCCACATTTGTGTTCATGCGGGGAAGACAGCTATGGTCATGCTTGTCACCTGATGCAGAGTTCTAAAAAACAACACCGTGCCAAATGCTTCTGCTTGTGAGCCAAACTGTGCACAAACAAGTGTCCTCGAACTGAGGTAGCACCTTACAGTGCTTCCCTTCCCACAGCAGAGGTGACGGCAGTGCACAGGTCTTCACCCACATACCACAGCAGATGCTGCTTTAACAGTGACATAGTCAGATGTCCTACAGGTCAAGTATTCCCTACCAGAATGCCTGGGACCAGAAGTGTTTCGAATTTTTTCAGATTCTGAAGTATTTGCAGATCCATAATGAGCTTTCTTAAGAGTGACACCCAAACCTAGATCACTTATGTTTCACATACACCTGACATGCATAGCCTGAAGGTAATTTTATACAACATCTTTACTAATTTTGTGCATGAACCTAAGTGTTCAATCTTCCACTGTGGCATCAAATGGATGCCCAGAAAGTTTTGGCTTTGCGAGTATCTGGGTTTTGGATATCTGAATTAGAGATGCTTGCCTTGTATCACTTTTTGTAGGTCAGTTAAGAATCATTTTTTCCTCATAGGGTTCCTGCATAACTTCAGTGAATCTTGAGTTCTCTAATATCTTCTGCCTAAGAAGAGGCTCTTACATCCTGGGACTTTTAAAATTTTTGTTACAAGTTGCTAGCTATGGTTATAAGTGATTGTTTGCAGGAAGGCTCACAATTTTCCCATTTCATACCCCTCTGCAATGGGACTTTACATTTCTTTCTCCCACTTGCTGACTCCAGGTTGGCCTTGTGGCCTGCTCAACTAGGAGCATGTGGCAGAAGTGGCAAACTGTCAGTTCTGAGTCAAGGTGTAAGGAGGCCTGCGTGTCTTTCTTGGACCCTTGCTATTACCATGAAAACAAGCTTGGCGAGTCTATTGAGATGAGAGGCCATGGGGAGCAGCCACCCCGCTGGGGCCACCTTAGATCAGCCAGCCCAGAGGCAGTAAAACATCCTACTAGGATATCCTACCATGAGCACTTGTGCTGAGCTCAAGCCACTAAATCGGGGACAAGTTTGTGTTAGGGTTGTTACCTACAAAGCCTCGCCAGCCCATAGCTCGTGGTGTTGAAGGCTCAGTCTCTGTTGAGATGAGATCTCCACAGATGAGATAATAATTGGATGGCGTTATGGGAGGGTGATGGAACTGTATCATGGGGAGTGTGTCATGAGGATAGGGCCACGGGGACTGTGTCTGCTCCCTGTCTATTCTGCTCTCTCTCTGCGTCCTGGCCACAGTGAGCAGATTTCCTCCACCATACCCGCTACCATGATGGATCTGCCTCATCACCGGCCTAAAGTGGTGAAGGCAGCTCCCATGGACTGAAACCTCTGAAACCATGAGCTAAAATAAATCTCTCCTCCTTTAAGTTGACATTTTTAGAGTTGGAAAGTGGACTCACACAATTTATTACACAGTAAATGCCAAGTGACTCAATATCGAACTCAAAAATCAATGTTCTGTTCCTTTTTCCTTCATGTTTCTGATTGCTTAACCATTACAGCATGTCTCTCTCAGGAGGCCAAAGGAAGAATAACAGAAGAAGACTAGTAGTCTAATCAGCCTGTCTAGAAAAAAGAATAGAATGGTGGTAATCAAAATTGTTGGCAGAACTGTGTATGCGCATTTAAGAGATCACACACAAATGTCCAGTATTCACACTGCCACAGATGCCTGAGACGCAGCAGGATGGGAATCATGATGTCTGCTTGCCCAGAGTGTAAACCATCTTTTGACAAATGAATGCCTTCACTTAATTCGAGGAGAAAGTCATCAGGATGTTACTACAATAATCTTATATGATATAGGAAGTAGAATCCAATCTCACGTATTTTGAATATCCCTGGTGTCTACTCTGGCACATTCAAAGAGATGAAAACGAGGAAAGCCCAGAAAACTAGGTGCTGGGTGGGTGTGTCCTGTAACAGGCAAAAAATATTCTTGGACAGTGTGCACACCCAGAGCGCTCTGGAAAACCTCTTTGTCCCTATGTTCTCCCTTTAAGAGAACAGAGTTTTATTTTAAAAGCAAGCAGGTTCCTAGTGTTCCTTTGAAACAGAATGCATATTTTTTTATCACGTTTATTAATGATTGGAAAATCCTTAGAACACCAACAGATACACATACTTAGCAACCCATAATTAAGCCACCACATAAGCTGCCTCAATGCACAAGTACCATAGCAAACTCAGTCCCTTCCCAGAATCATCTGCTTCCCTGTCTCCTGACCCCCTCAAGCCACAGTGGTAACAGCGCTATATTCCTGCACTTCTCCTTCCACATTTCTGGTGGATTTACCCTGTGGGCACCATGCCTCTTTTTCCTCCACCTTGGTGCTCCACCCATTTGGTGGCTCTTTACTGTAGGATGCATCATATTCCCTAGGCCAGGGTAAGGGGCCTGCATACTTCCATCACGCGGCCATTGCATGCCATTGCTGGCTTCTGGGGACCCCCTCCTCTGATACCTAAACTCGACTGGGAAGATTCAGCCTCTGAGTCGCTTCCTCCACCTCCTCCAGCCAGGACTTGCTCGCAGCTTTGACTGCCAGAATCTTCCTCGGGCCTCTCTGTTGCAATGGTTCGCTGAATATTTTGATACCTTTGCATTAGAAAAAAAAATGGAGAACAGGAGTCAATTTTTGTCTCTTTGCTTGTGGGAAGCAGATGCTCTGAATTAGACAACTGGAGAAATCTGGAAAGAATTTTCTTGGATGTCAGGAGAGAAATGCTTTCAATTCTCAAGAGATAGCCAAGATAGTTAGCAGCACCAGTATCTCTGGATTATTTGACTTCGTTTTCTGTTTTGTTTTGTAAGCTGTAATGAGTTTTGAGGATGGTGATCTTTTAAAAAGCAACACAGACAATAACGAATCATGCAAAATAGCTTATGCCCTGTATTAGATAAAATCAGATTAAGTCTGAAATCAGAGTGCGGGAAGTAAATTAAAATGTTACAACCCAGATATATGGAATCACCTCTACACTATTACAGTAAGTACCCAAAGTTCAACAGTTGTTCTACTCACATTTTTATTTGACAGGTAATTGACATGGTTGGGCAGAAGCTGTGGAAATATTACACCTAAAAGCATACCGGCAAACATAGTATTAGTGGCTTATTTGAAGGTTTCATCCTTTTTTTTTTTTTTTCTAAGTTGGGGATCAAATGAGCTGGCTGTCCAGGCAGTCATCCTTGTAAGTACTAAATTCTAGCCCTTCTACTGGGCACAGGCTCTGAGCTAGACTCTCAGATCAAAGAGAGGATCGGAATACGCTACCGTCCTCGGAACACACTGTTGAAATTAAGCAAAGAGGGGAAATGATATAGAAACAACTCCAGCTAAGAGAAAGGCTGCCTGGGAGATGTAAGAGAGCCGTGGCAACACAGACAAGCTAGATAACAAGATGACAGGTACCAGAAGGGAGACACATTTTGAAGTCAGAGGGTGAATTTTGCCAGAAAGAACATCTTCAGGAAAAATGCGAGCAAGCAGAGCACGCTGGGAAAGCTCTGAGAAGCTCAAGGGTGGCATGAGATGTATGGGCACTGGGAAATAAGAGGAGACAGTGGAGAGGGAGGCAGGGGACAAGCAGAGTGTGCCCCAGCAGCCCAGTGAGCTCAGGTTTTTCAACCTGATCAGCATCATTGCAGGACTGGTTACAAGACAAATTCCTGGGCCCCACCCCAGAGTCTCTGATTTGGCAAGGGGTCAGGGCAAAGCATCTGCATTTCTGATCTGCACTGCACGTGTTCCCAGGTGATCCTGATGCCGCAGGTCCAGGGGTCCACACTCAGTGAAAGGTCATGGCTAAGGAAGAGAGACAGTGCCAGGTCCACTCTGAGAATGATCAACTGACACTTGTGTGGAGGATGAATGGAGCAGAGCTTGGGTCAGGGGGAACAGTGCGGGGCTACTGCGACACTTTTGGCTGGAGATGCTAACAAGCGCCAACCGTGGTGGGGATGGTGGGTGGAGCTGCTGGAGGACAGGAAACGTCCATATACTCGAAGGATTCGTAGGTCAGTGGTATCTGCCAACAGGATTTTCAGAACACTGCCACCACTCTCTGCCCCCTCTGTCTGCTCTGCTAGTTACTTTGTAGACAGATGTCCAGCCAACTACTCCTCTGTCCCACTCTACCTCTCTCATTCCTCCAAGAAGCCTCTCTACGCTCCCCATAAGATTTCTGCTTTGTCTCAAGGCTCTCACCCTCCCAGGGAAATAGGACTAGGACTTGGCTTTCACTTTCCTCAGGGCAAAAGGGTGAAAGGGCCATTTCAAGATAATGTTGATGGCAGTACTTTTACAAGCACACTCAACAGTATTAGAGGCCTAGCTAGATATGAGTGTTGAAGATGGGGAAAGAAGTTCAAGGCTTCTGCTTAAAGTAGATGGCCGAAGGACACTAGGTAGGAGGATGGGTCCATGAGGAAGCGAGATTTTGGGTGGATTTGGACACATGAATTTGGAGGGCTTGAAGCTCATACCAGTCACACTGTCCAAGAGAATTTTGCTTAGATGGTTCCAGTGCTCAGGAAAGCAATAAGAAGGTGAACAAGGAAGATGGAAGAGGAGGGGAAGAAGGAGGAGGATGGAAAGAGTAGTAGGGAACAATCAAGTCTCCAAGTGATGTCTTAGGTTAAGTTAGAGGGACACCCAGTGCTGCATAGATGTGGGTCTACTACGGCAGGCTTCCAAGACCAGCATCACATTCTTTCCCAGACCTTAGAGGAGAAGGATTCCTAAGTGTGATCCCCAGACTACTTGCAAGAGAACTGTCAAGTGATTATCAGAATCAGACACTTAAGCTGACAGTCAGCACCGACTTCCAAATATGTCATCCAGCCCCAGTCACTCTAACTGCAACCATGAGACCAGCTGAGGGACAGTGCTCAGCTGGGCCCAGTCAACCAGAACCATGAGAAATAATGATAATGATTGTAATAAATCACTGTGGTTGACTTGTGCTGCTGTGTGTAGGGAAGTCTGTTACTCAGCAATAAACACTCGGAACAGGGCTTAGACAAAGATCAAGTGTAACCTCTCTATTCCTTCCCAAAGTGGAATGACCAGAGCAGAGAATTTTTATGAGTAAATATGATCTTATTTGACAAGGTAAATGTCAGCGAGGTCACAACCTCCTTCACGTCCTTAGCTGGACCCTGGTGATCTCATGCTTTGTTAAGTCAACAGTCTTAAATCCTGGGTACTAGACCTCATTCTCCTTTTTTGTTGATGTTTAGGGGTAGTTTGAGGAAGCAGGGCACATGGAGTTGGGAAATAAAAAGAGGTGATCTCCTATTTCATCAAGAATTATTCATAGGGTTGGGGATTTGGCTCAATGGTTCTGCTGCATGCCTCACAAGCACAAGGGCCTGAGTTCGATCCCTGGGACCAAAAAAACAAAACAAAAAAAACCCAAAGAATTATTTATGAATGTCCTCAGTTCATTTGTGTTCTCTCCCCTCTCCCTCTCCTCTTTCCTTTTGTTTTGCAGCAAAATTTTAAACACTTAATAGTATATAAAGGCCTTAGGGAAACTGGTTAAAAAAAAAAAACCCAAAATACGCAATTTGTAAACAGAGACACGCATGAAATTTAACTGGATTAAAAAAAAAGACTATTAAAACCACATCCCGCTCCAAAAATAAACACCTAAAAACAGAACATTCGCATGGGAATAACTAGAGTTTTTAAAGAAAATATTATGGGGAAAAAGTTGATCTCTGAGAAGTAAAATGAAAGCACTTCCAATATACCAAGGTTATTTCCTAAATCAGCAGAAAGAAATGAAAAGATGAGATGGAAGTGAAGTTGTTGGCAAAGTGAACCCAGGACCACATTAGTAAACAGGGATTGATATTAGTTACTAAAACCGTGTTCATCTCCCTGGACCTGCTCCTTAGGTAACAGAGTCTTCAGAAAATGCTCTACTATTAGGTGATCTTACTATGTAATAATGCTCTTGGTGGCCAAATAAAATACAGTGATAAAAGCCATAGGCAAAACATTCAACAAAGTCATAAATTAAATTAAGGCCACTCAGTGAGATACTTACAAGCATTTAAATGCTAATATGAAGACTATGCAGCAATATAAAAGATGTTCATAGTGTAGTAAGTGAAAAATGAATGTTTAACTATATTTTACTATTAAAACTCTGTGAGAATTGTGTAAGCATACAGCAATTTAAGATGTACTCATTTTTTAAGAAAAGCTTAATCCTTGAGGTTGTAGGTCATTTTTTACTCTTTAAAACTTTTACTGCTCTTACTAAAAATTTATAAAAGTAACTACAAAATTAGCTTTAGTTAGTTATTCAAAATGAGGATGCATATTTAAGTTTTCTGCTTGCTCACGACATGTATGTGAAAGTAGAGCTATTCATTCTGGATATTCCAAAAGCATAGGCACTAACTCAGGGGAGCGTCTTGTACTGAGTCCTATAATATTTCAGGTTCACATTAGGTAAAGGGAAGGGCAGAAAGGAAAACAAGACAGGATGGTAAGAAGCGAACCAGACATGCACATTCATGCTGCCATGGAGGAGGAAGTCCCTGCCTCCCACTGTTCCCGTGGAGGATTCTGGGAGGTGTCACAGGGCACATGATGTCCATGTTTGGCTGCTGAGTGAGAAGATGGGTCCCAGGTGGAGGCAGGCAGTGAGGAACCTCCCCACAGTGGGAGCCTGCGGTCAAGCTACAAAGGCTCAGGAGGCTGTGCCATGTTTGCAGAGAGGCTAAGTATGACCACAGTCCCTGCAGGTGACTACAAAAGCTCATATGTTGTCAGTGGGCCCTCTGCATTTCTCAGCACCAGCAGGTCTGATCATCACAGCCATGCAGTGGGAATTCAGGAGAAAGTCTTTCTTGCAACACTAAGACATATTTCTGTTTTGTCAGGGGACAGTGACTCCTGTAAATGCCTCTTGATAACTGCGGGTTATCAAAAATGACCCCTATGTGTGAGCAAAGGTGAGTTAGACACCAGACTGGTTGGATGCTGTTTGTGGCTGCTCATATCACGCCAAATGACAGAATACACTAAAGTGTCAGATAAATATTTAAAATCCTGGATTCTTATCTGAAGGTAGGCTTTTTCATAAGAAATAAGTATTTTCTCAAATCGCTAAGGTCCTTTTCTCTTTATCTGTTCAGATAAACTACAAATATAGCTTCTTATCTGGCAAAGTCTAGCTGTTCCTATTAGTGTGTTCAGTCCCACTGGAGGACACAGAAAGTGATATATGAAAAGCTGCAAAACTTCTTGAGAGAACTGGTCCCAAAGAAATTTGCCTATTATCTTCCCTCTTTCTATGCTGAAGAGTGAATGCAGGGCCTTCATGTTGAGTGCTAGCCACAGCCTCTTTTTCTAAAAATTTTGAGTCAGGGTCTTGCTAAATCACTGAGTTACCAGGCTGGGTTCAAATAAAGTCACCAAGTCTCCCAGGATGGACTGAAACTTGTGATCCTCCTGCCTCAGCCTCCCAGGGTGCTGGGATTACAGGTGAGTGCCACCAAGTCCAGCTTCCTTGTCCTAACTTCTATGCTCTACAACCTAAACACTATGAATTTCTATGGATTTTTATGCACAGGGCAAGGTTCTTTCTTCTAATTCAGATTTATAGTTTATTTATTGTTGAAACATTTAGCATTTAGTATTCAAACAGTGCCTCTTGTGGACATCATCTGGGAACACTTTCTCTGCCTGCCAAACAATTTCAGCTCATCTGTTCTGGAAAGACAGTTCTGGAGGCTAACTTCTGCCAATGGAATTACAATAGGGTCTTTGCTTGTGTGTTGTCTACATTTTGAATTGCAGAAGCTTTGTTGCAGACACCATAAAAAGAATTGTTCACGGATTTTTGCGTGCACCCATATCAGGTAAAACTAGGTGATCACAAGACCATCCTTACAACATGCTTTATTTCAGCGTGAATGACTGGAGAGTATGCCCCCAATGAAGATCCTTTATGGCTCTATTAATGGCTTAAACACTGAAGGAGAAAAACAAAAAGCAAATATCTTCTAAATGTTTAAGCATTAAAGAAATCTTCTGGTGACTTTCACCTAAAGCACGTTCCTTTGTGTAGTAATAGTAACAAGAAGTTGAATTTTTTGTCTGCATGTGTTTTCAGTAGGAATAAATAGTCCACTTTCCCTCCCCTGGCTGATACAGCTGAGGTTCAAAGACTTCTGCTCTGAACAGGTGCCCTTCAAGCCCAGGTCTTCCCTCTTCTTGTCCCCTCTCAACCTTTCCTTTAGCTTCACACTGGATACACACACTGCACACTGATGTGATTACAACGGGAGCAAGCTTGCATTCCTGGCAGCTAAAAGTTCCATGACTTTTGGGAGCCACATGGTGGAGATACCATTCTCTACTGGCTGAAACATGGTTGAGATGTGACCCATGGTTTCATTTTCTTGTTAAAATGACATATTTACAAGTTCAATAGTAAGAGTCTAGTTTCTAAAGGAAACAGTTCTCCCCACAGAAACTCATAATTCTTTTTGACACAGGGTCTTACTCTGCGTTGCCCAGGCTGGCCTCCAACTTTCTATCCTCCTGCCTCAGCCTCCCAATTAGCTGGGATTATAGGAGAATGCCAATGCATACAGTGTCAAGGATGTTTTCTAGAATTTCATTTACTAAGGTGAAGGCTTTTGAAGAATTATTATGCATGAATGCATAACAATTAGGAGACCAAGACAGGGATTTATGAGACAGCTTTTAGTATTCGTAGGGAATCTATCCTTGGAATGTTTGGAACTATTCTGAGTTCTGTACCCTTTGAGGTCTTTATGATGGATATGGACAAGCCTGGTAGAAAAGCACACATCCACATGTAATGAAGGGTTTGTTTCTGGAGGGTTTGCAGGACACTACATTCTTGGTGAAGACACAGGAAGGGGGTTGTGGCTACACACTCCTGATTTCCAGCTAGGTCAGTAGGAGTTCAGGGGAACCCCCATTTTAAATGACCTCAAGCTCCACTCCTCTCCTGCCACCTTATTCTAAGTCTATCCTTCCAAGAACTCACTATGAACAGGCTCTTAAGGCACTTATTTCCTGCAATTGCACACTGAACAGAAAAGTGTGGACGTCTTTAGGTTCAGAGGAGCTCATTGCATACTGATCACCAACCGCCTGTTGAGCTGCTCCATCTGCTGGACTGAGCCGGATCTCCTCATCCCGTCCGGGGTGGCTGCCGCTGTCGGGCGCTGCCAGGTGGTTGTGCGGTTCACATGGTCCACATAAAAGACCCGCCCATGGCTGTCAATCCGAGCTTCCCAGTCTAGTGTTTAATAAAAAGGCAGAAAGAATAATCAAGGACAAACCACTGATCCATGTGAACAGCTACCATTCCAGGTCTCCTGTGGGTAGAACTCACCATTGGTTTGTTGACAAAGGCCAGTCACCAGTGGTACGGGATGGGGCATTCCAGAAAAGAGCCAGACTCACTGCTGGGCTACCCTGAATAGTAATGATGGTTTGCTGGATATAGCCTCTGCTCATATTCTAACAATTCCTAAAGAGAGAGTCTGTTTATTTCTTTTAAAAATATTGTTGGCTACTCAAATGACAGCTGTGGAAGACTGGACCTGTCCTCTAGTGGGAGTCAAGTCCATACTGTGACACTGGAGAATCAATCTTTTTCTCTACTTCTCCTCTCTCTCTCTCTCTCTCTCTCTCTCTCTCTCTCTCTCTCTTTTCTTG